ACGGCTGGTGTCCGTTGCACATTCATGGCAGCTTTTGTGTAAGGAGCCTGCAGAGGGGGAGGGGCTTTGAGGCTGTGCTGTGGTGCTGATATTTTGGCTACTGTCAGGTAATGACACTTCATGCCGATGAACTATGACCTCTCCAGCAGTCTCAGAATCAGAGCCAGGTCCTGGATCCGGGCCAGCGTCCTGCTTTGGGCTCGTGGATCTCTGGTCTCCTACGGCAGCCTGCAGGGCCGCAGTGTGAACACAGTGCTTCCTGAGGTGACAGGTGTGGGGAGCTCCTTGCCTGGGGGTCACCACTCTCCCCTGTGAGCAGTGGTGGAAATGAGTGAGTGGACAGTGGAAGTAGTGCATACTGCACTCCACACGTTTGTAGGCTGGGTCCCGGTTTGTTGGTAAAAGGCTCGCGTTTTGTTTGCTGAAGGGGAAGAGCTGAGAGGTTGGAGGGCAGGAGCGAGAATCCGGCGCACAGGAATGTGGGCTCCACTGCTGAAGCAGATGATCCCCACATGTGCAGCTGGTGTTTTGCGAGTACTGGCACCTGCACGGCGTGCTCAGCGTGGCTACGTGCCCATTCCCAGATCCTCTTTCTTCTGTGTTCGAGTAATGAATGTTTGAGAAAGGAGCAGCGTGGTGGTGAGGAGGAACTCTGTTATAAAGCTGAGTGCTGGAATCGTGCCCTTCGTGCAGTTTATCCTCCGTTTTTTGACTGGATGCTAAAGGCTCCAGCTCATAATGCTCCACCTCACCGCCCTTGCTGTCCAGCTGGTATTTCGCCAGACCAGAACTCTTCCTCTGGGGCGAGGGGCTGCTGGATGTGGTTTCGGTGAAGGCCTGACACTGCAGTTTTTTGGGCAGCGGTATCTGGCCACAGGTGCCCTGGGGCCCCAGGCAGCGGCACATGCACTGAAAAAAGAAGGTGGCAAAGGCCCAGCTGATGCACATGATCAGCATCATGAACATGCCCAGCTGCGTGTAGGCCAGGACAGTCGACGGCATCATCATTGCGCCGGCAACAAAGGTGGTTAGTGCTGCCATTGCAATAGCAGAACCCATCCGACTGAGGGAAAATATCACCTTTCCCTCACGGTCCGGCTCTGGGGCAAGTCGGTAGGCCACGCCGTAGTGGACAGCAAAGTCCACCGACAGCCCGACTGCCACTGAAATGGTCACAGACTCCAAGACGTTGAGCTCCCAGCCCAGAAGCACCAGAGAGCCCACTGTGACAAATATGGTCCCAGCAATGGACAGGATGGCATACAGGCTGATGATGAAATTCCAGGTGGTCAGGAGCATGACGCTGAAAGCAACAGCCACCGACAGCGCCATAGCAATCAGAGTCCCATCTGACAGGCTGTCCTGGAGGTCATAAAACTCCAGGTTGCTCACAAACCAGCCGTAGCTGAGGCCTGCTGGGGCGTAGCGAAGCTCCTCCTCGATCCAAGCATCCACCTAAAACAGAAAGACATGACTAACATTATAAAATATCTTGTTTCACCAGTGGAGATGTGTCCAGGGGATGCTGGGGCTGTGCATACCTCACGGTAGAACTGGTACATCTTCTCATAGGCCAATGTGAAGAGGAAGGTGCTCTGGAACTCTAAAACAATGGCTCTGATGGTGTCGTTGATGTCAAATCGAGGTCCAGGGGTCTTGCTGTCAAGGTGGTAGTTAGTACTGCGATCCAGCTCCATGATGGCTCTTTTGATACACAACTCAAAGACATCCTGTTTGTATGGGAAGATGGACTGACTGCAGCAAGGGTAGACAGAGGCCTCGTCGCAGTCCTGGTTCTCCATCCACTGTTAAAAACAGAA